CTCCACTGGTAAGACCACTGACCCCTCCGTCTCCACTGAAGCACCCGTAAATCCAGAGAGTGGGGTACGTACTTCTTTGAGCTGGTTCCTAAGTATCCCTAACTTGGTGAAGGCATCGTAATACATCACATTGACTGAGCTTCCTGTGTCGACTAAGATGTGGCGGACAATGACATCGTTGACGTCCATCTCAATTACCAGGGCGTCACGATGCGGTAACGGGCCCTCTGGGAGGTCATCACCAGAGAAGGTGATGGCCTCCTGTCTCTGTTTCTTTTCTCTGGGAAGACTCGCCACTTTTCCCACGTATAGCCGCCGGCTCCACTTCTTTCTTTCCGCGGGCGTGTCGCCCCCTGCAGGTCCACCATAGATAAAGTATATGGTGTGTTTCTTTTGTCGTCTAGGCGCCACCTCGGTTTCTTTCTCGCTATCACTCTGCTCAGATATTTGGTCGTGTTCTCTTTTTTTCAAGGTGGATGGCTCGGTGACATCCTCATTTCTCCAGACATTTTTTGGTGGTGGATTTTTTGATGGATCGCGCTGCGGCTGCTGCTGCTTGGATCGCTTGACAAAATGGCGGAAGTAACCCTGCTGGATGAGTTCTTCTATTTGTCTCTTCAGCACGTTACATTCATCCGTGTCGTGCCCAGGTTGCCTATGGAACCTGCAATACTTTGCTTGGTCTCCTTTTGGGGAGACCTTCATGCATTCTGGTGGGAACTCGACTATTCCCATCTCCTCAGCCTGTTTTAGGATGACACTAACGGGATGGGTAAGTGGAGTTAGGTTACGCAAGGGAACCAGGCGAGGCCGTTCATGGTCCCGGCCTTTCCCTGCGGCCGGGTGGTTCGAACGTGGCGCTTGGCTGGGCGGACCCGCTTTCCCAGGTTTCCCATTTTTCCTGCCGTCCTCCTCATCTTTCTTCTTCTTGTCGACATCCTCCGCTTCCGCATAGCGGCTAGCCATCCTCATCAAATCTTCGTAAGAACGGGGGTGGTGCGCGTTCAGCTGCTTGTGAAAATACCCCGATCTCAAGGCATGGATGAATATCGGGATCGCCGCCTTGGAGTCAAAGTCGTAGACATTATTGACTTCCTTTTTCCACTTGATTAGGAAGTCTTTGAGGCTCTCGCCTCTATCTTGCTTTACTACGCAGAGGTGAGAGAAGGGTTTCTTACGCTGTATGCTACCGGAGAAGTATGTCATGAAGCTTTTGGACAACTCTCCAAAGTTCTGGATCGACCCGTCCGGGATGGTGTTGAACCAATCTTGGGCCGTTCCATCCAGGGTGGACAAGAACGCTCGGCACATGATGGCGTGCCCTGCCCCGATCATTACCATGGCAGCCTTGTACCTAGTCATGTGGACACGTGGGTCAGTGGCTCCCGTGTACGCCTTGATGGCGGGTAACCTGAAGTCCCTCGGAAGAGGTACGTCCATGATGCTTAGGGAGAACGGTGCTGCCATTCGTACCTCAGGTTCCGGCGACTGCTCCCGTGCCTCCACCCTTCTTGCTAACTCCTCGATCTTTCTCTGCAGCCTTTCGACCAGGGCCGACTCGTCAACAATCGCGGAGGGGACCTCCAATAAAAGCTCAACAACGGGAGGCCCGGGGACCTTCGAGACCAACTCAACAATAGAGGAGACCTTCGAGACCAACTCAACAATGGAGGGGACCGCCGAGACCAACTCCACAATGGAGGGACGAACCGAGTCGTGAACCTCCAGGCGACCATTCAGCAAGCAGTGACGGCGGCACTAAACCAAGTGGCGGTGGGACTACAAGGCCAAGTGCCCCTGCCGCGGCCTCAGGAAATAGAGGTAGAATCCCCACGGAGGGTGGATGCCCAGGACGCAACCCGTGCCGCGAGGGACGCAGGGCGTCGCACTAGGACCGGGGGTCCGGGAGAGGGCACCCAAAGAAGTGGACTGGCCGGAAGGCAACCTAGGCCCTCCCACTCTGCCTTAGAAGGGTTGGGACACGGGGCGCCCGCTCGGCAAAGGCCGGAGTCGCGTGCCGAGGGGTCCTCCGCTAGAGGCCCTCGCCGACACGAGGAAAGGGAAGCGGGAAGATCGCCCATAGAAAGGATGGGCGAGTCTCGTGGGGCGGCCCCGCGCCGGCGCTGTGACGATTCGGCCCTGCATCGACACTCGGATGAGCAACGCTTCGATGAACCGGCCTCGCGTCGGCACTCGGCGGAGCGACGCGATGAGCCGGCAATGAAATTTCAACACCAAGCTCAAATTCAAGTCCAAAACATGTCAAATCTCACCAAATACAACAAAATGAATTGAATCAAAGGAATAGCCAAGCAATGGCATATATGAACCCTATTAACAAGCTCTAGATATGCATTTTCACAAGACAATGCATCAACACTCACATTTCATAGCAAAATCACGTGTAGAATCCAAGAAATCATCATATAGGTAAGCAAAATAGATTTTGTAGAGCATGGGTTACCTCTTGTAGACTCAACTTTCACTTAAAACACTTCTCAAAGCCCCTATCAAGGTTCACCTTCAACATCCACTTCAAGAACACACCAAAAGATCAAAAAGATTTCATCTTTAGGAAAAGATACCTTGGAGACAAACTTTGGAGATCTTGGAAAGCCTAAACTTAGCTTGCAGAGAAAGCTAGCTAAATTTTAGAGATAAGGAAGACCTTTTGATTTGAAAGTGTTAGGAGAAAAATGAAAGGTGTCTTCTAGGTACAACACCTTGACTTGGGTTAACTAGTCAATTACTAGTCCCCGACTATTGAATTTTTAGGAATTTAAAGAATAAATCACCAATTGGATTAGGTTTAATTACTTAATTAATCCCATAAATAGAATCTGGATTTAAGGGTTGTCACAATTTTCCTGCACCTTTATTTTTTAAAATTAAAAATGTAATCTATAATATAATTTTTCCATAAAATTGGTGTTGATTAATAATAAATCAATATACTACAAATTAAATTTCATTCATCTACTATATTAATAAGAAGTAGTTACCACACGGGCATTGTACGAATTTTCCAATGCGCAATGTGTATTTTTAAATTAGTGTTTCATAATTTATTAAAATATCATTCGGTATCCTTGCGTATATCAACTTAAGATTATCAAATTTTTCAAAAATGTAAATATTTCAATAATGCATAACTATGACGCATAATTTTTCATAAAATTAACTGGTGCAATAGCAGTTTTAGAGGGAAAAGACCCTGACTCGATAGTACAGAAGCATAATTTTTGCAACACAAAACCCTATTAATTGGCGTGATCCATGCTTCCTCTGGTTGCCACAGCCGCCATAAATGGATTCTTGATTTCATCTAGTCCCCTGGTGTGCTTCACTACAATTTTAGCGTCTTGGCACGGTGCATCTTAAAAAACAGAACCAAATCCTCCTTCCCCAAAAAGACAATGATAATATGCATTGTTTATCATCTTTGTTGAATATATACTGTAAATTTGTTCTACCGTTTCATCAAAGTCCAATGTGTAATTCTAATTAATTGACCAAAGTTCGTGTTATATTTTATATTGTATTTTTTAATTCACTCTAACATATTCATAGTATATGTTTAACAATTATGTCAGTTTTGATTGGGATGGGGCTTCGAACCTAAGACTTCCCTTATGAAAATCAATGAGTAACATAAGAACTATAAATAGTTAACGGAAAATTGTGTTACTGAAGTTTAAATAGATGGAACGCAGAGGGTAAGTAGGGAAAATAAGAAAAAATAATAAAATAAAAATAATGTGAGTAATTAATTTCAACAAACAATTACACCAACGTTTTTTTGTTCCCGTTAGGGCCTAACTTTATTGGCTCTTAGCAACATATGAATAACTAACAATGAGTTGAGATGGTCGAGTTGGTCAAAGGTGTTAAATTAAGGATTTGGTCTGAAACGGGTGGGTTTAAATCTCACTCTCACCAAAAATATGTTATTATTTTAAACCTTTTAATATAATTACAATATGATATGATTTTTAAAACCTTTTTTCCCCATACAACTTATCTTGATAGAATTTTCACCAGTAATTATAAAAATTAAAAATGTTATACATTTTTGACCTAATATTAATCAATATTATAATTTTCCTGCACCTTTATTTTTTAAAGTTAAAAATGTAATCTATAATATAATTTTTCCATAAAATTGGTGTTCATTAATAATAAATCAATATACTACAAATTAAATTTCATTCATCTACTATATTAATAGTAACTAGTTACCACACGCGCATTGTGCGAATTGTCCAATGCCCAATGTGAATTTTTAAATTAGTGTTTCATAATTTATTAAAATATCATTCGGTATCCTTGCGTATATCAACGTAAGATTATCAAAATTTTTAAAAAAGTAAATATATCAATAATGCATAACTACGATGCATAATTTTGAATAGAATTAACGGGTGCAATAGTAGTTTTAGAGGAAAAGACCCTTACTCGATAGGTCAGAAGCATAATTTTTGCAACGCAAAACCCTATTAATTGGCGTGATCAATGCTGCCTCTTGTTGCCACAGCCGCCATAAATGAAATCTTTATTTCATCTAGTCCCCTGGTGTGCTTCACTGCAATTTTAGCGTCTTGGCACGGTGCACCTTAAAAAACAAAACCAAATCCTCTTTCCCCGAAAAGACAATGCTAATAGGCATTGTTTCTCATCTGTGTTAAATATATACTGTAAATTAGGTGTACCGTTTCAACAACGTCCAATGCGTAATTCTAATTAATTGACCAAAGTTCAAGTTATATTTTATATTGTATTTTTTTAATACACTCTAACATATTCATAGTATATGTTTAACAATTATGTCAGTTTTAATTGGGATAGGATTCGAACCTTAGACTTCCGATATGAAAATCAATGAGTAACACAAGAATAATAATTAGTTAACGGAAAATTGTGTTACTGAACTTTAAATAGATGGAACACGGAGGGTAAGTATGGAAAATAAGAAAAAATAATAAAATAAAATTAATGTGAACAATTAATTTCAACAAACAATTACACCAACGTTTTTTAGTTCCCGTTAGGGCCTCACTTTATTGGCTCTTAGTTACATATGAATAACCAGTAATGAGTTTAGATCGATGAGTTGGTCTAGAGCTCTAGATTAAGGTTCTGGTTTGAAAAGGCGTGGTTCAAATCCCACTCTCAACAAAAAAATGTTATTATTTTAAGCCTTTTTTTAGTTGGTCTAGAGCTCTAGATTAAGGTTCTGGTTTGAAAAGGCGTGGTTCAAATCCCACTCTCAACAAAAAAATGTTATTATTTTAAGCCTTTTTTTTTTTAATATTACTGGCCCTATTACATTGTAGTATCTGTTCATATACTTTCTCAACCTACTGAAACACAAAGAACCAATAACGCCTCCACTGAGGCTTAAACTCACAACCTTCCAAATGGAAGTCCAACCCGGATACCATTAGACCAAATAGTCTTGGTTTTTAAGCCTTTTAATATAATTACAATATGATATGATTTTTAAAACCTTTTTTCCCCATACTACTTATCTTAATAGAATTTTCACCAGTAATTATTAAAATTAAAAATGTTATACATTTTTGCCCTAATATTAATCAATATTATAATTTTCTTGCACCTTTATTTTTTAAAATTAAAAATGTAATCTATAATATAATATTTCTCTAAAATTTGTGTTCATTAATAATAAATCAATATACTACAAATTAAATTTCATTCATCTACTATATTAATAAGAACTAGTTACCACACGCGCATTTTGCGAATTGTCCAATACCCATTGTGTATTTTTAAATTAGTGTTTCATAATTTATTAAAATATCTATTGGTATCCTTGCGTATATCAACTTAAGATTATCTATTTTTTCAAAATAGTAAATATTTCAATAATGCATAACTATGATGCATAATTTTTCATAAAATTAACTGGTGCAATAGCAGTTTTAGAGGAAAAGACCCTCACTCGATAGTACAGAACATAATTCTTGCAACACAAAACCCTATAAATTGGCGTGTTCCATGCTTCCTTTGGTTGCCACAGCCGCCATAAATGAATTCTTGATTTCATCTAGTCCCCTGGTGTGCATCACTGCAATTTTAGCGTCTTGGCACGGTGCACCTTAAAAAACAGAACCAAATCCTCCTTCCCCAAAAAGACAATGATAATGGGCATCGTTTATCATCTGTGTTGAATATATACTGTAAATTAGACGTACCGTTTCATCAATGTCCAATGGGTAATTCTAATTAATTGACCAAAGTTCATGTAATATTCTATATTGTATTTTTTAATACACTCCAACATATTCATAGTATATGTATAACAATTATGTCAATTTTGATTGGGATGGATTCAAACCTAAGAATTCCCTTATGAAAGTCAATGAATAATATGAGAATAATAAATAGTTAACGGAAAATTCCTTTACTAAAGTTTACATAGACCGAATGCAGAGGGTAAGTAGGAAAAATAAGAAAAAATAATAAAATAAAAATAATGTGAACATTTAATTTCAACAAACAATTATACCAACATTTTTTAGTTCCTGTTAGGGCCTAAAGTTTTTGGATCTAAGCTATATATGAATAACTAGCAATGAGTTGAGATGGCTGAGTTTGTCTAAGGCGATAGATTAAGGTTCTGGTTTGAACGGGCTTAGGTTCAAATCCCACTCTCAACAATAAAATGTTATTATTTTCAGCCTTTTAATATAATTACAATATGATATGATTTTTAAAACCTTTTTTCCCCATACAACTTATCTTAATAGAATTTTCACCAGTAATAATTAAAATTAAAAATGTTATACATTTTTGCCCTAATATTAATCAATATTATAATTTTCCTACACCTTTATTTTTTAAAATTAAAAATGTAATCTATAATATAATTTTTCCCTAAAATTGGAGTTCATTAATAATAAATCAATATACTACAAATTAAATTTCATTCATCTACTATATTAATAAGAACTAGTTACCACACGCGCATTGTGCGAATTGTCCAATGCCCAATGTTTATTTTTAAATTAGGGTTTCATAATTTATTAAAATATCTATCGGTATCCTTGTGTATATCAACTTAAGATTATCAAATTTTTCAAAAATGTAAATATTTGAATAATACATAACTATGATGCATAATTTTTGATAAAATTAACAGGTGCAATAGCAGTTTTAGAGGAAAAGACCCTCACTCGATAGTACAGAAGCATAATTTTTGCAACACAAAACCCTATTAATTGGCGTGATCCATGCTTCCTTTGGTTGCCACAGCCGCCATAAATGAATTCTTGATTTCATCTAGTCCCCTGGTGTGCATCACTGCAATTTTAGCGTCTTGGCATAGGCATTGTTTATCATCTGTGTTGAATATATACTGTAAATTAGGTGTACCGTTTCATCAATGTCCAATGCGTAATTCTAATTAATTAACCAAAGTTCATGTCATATTTTATATTGTATTTTTAAATTCACTCTAACATATTCATAGTATATGTTTAACAATTATGTCAGTTTTGATTGGTATGGGATTCGAACCTAAGACTTCTCTTATGAAAATCAATGAGTAACATAAGAATAATAAATAGTTAACGAAAAATTCCGTTACGGAAGTTTAAATATATGGAAAGCAGAGGGTAAGTAGGGAAAATAAGAAAAAATAACAAAATAAAAATAATGTGAACAATTAATTCAACAAACAATTACACCAACGTTTTTTAGTACCCGTTAGGGCCTAAGTTTTTTGGATCTAAGCTACATATGAATAAATAGAAACGAGTTAGATGGCTGAGTTTGTTTAAGGCGCCAGATTAAGGTTCTGGTCCGAAAGGGCTTGGGTTCAAATCCCACTAATATAATTACAATATGATATGATTTTTAAAACCTTTTTTCCCCATACAACTTATCTTTATAGAATTTTCACCTAATATTAATCAATGTTATAATTTTCCTACACCTTTATTTTTTAAAATTAAAAATGTATTCTATAATATAATTTTTCCCTAAAATTGGTGTTTATTAATAATAAATCAATATACTACAAATTAAATTTCATTCATCTACTATATTAATAAGAACTAGTTACCACACGCGCATTGTGTGAATTGTCCAATGTCCAATGTGTATTTTTAAATTAGGGTCTCATAATTTATTAAAATATCTATTGGTATCCTTGCGTATATCAACTTAAGATTATCAAATTTTTCAAAAAAGTAAATATTTGAATAATGCATAACTATGATGCATAATTTTTGATAAAATTAACTGGTGCAATAGCAGTTTTAGAAGAAAAGTCCCTCACTCGATAGTATAGAAGCATAATTTTAGCAACACAAAACCCTATAAATTGGCGTGATCCATGCTTCCTTTGGTTGCCACAGCCGCCATAAATGAATTCTTGATTTCATCTAGTCCCCTGGTGTGCACTACAATTTTAGCGTCTTGGCACGGTGCACCATAAAAAACACAACCAAATTCTCCTTCCCCAAAAAGACAATGATAATAGGCATTGTTTATCTTCTGTGTTGAATATATATTGTAAATTAGGTGTACCGTTTCATCAATGTCCAATGCGTAATTCTAATTAATTGACCAAAGTTCATGTTATATTTTATATTGTATTTTTTAATTCACTCTAACATATTCATAGTATATGTTTAACAATTATGTCAGTTTTGATTGGGATGAGATTCGAACCTAAGACTTCTCTTATGAAAATCAATGAGTAACATAAGAATAATAAATAGTTAACGGAAAATTCCGTTACTGAAGTTTAAATAGATGGAAAGCAGAGGGTAAGTAGGGTGCGTAAAATAATTAACTTCTTATGGAAACGCTCGGGGGAACGCTCTCCAGCCCAAGATCGGAGGAAGATCGCGATCTCTTGGAGAGAAGTACGAAGAAGGCCAAGACGGATGAATGTACAGAGGCTGATCAGGCGGGGAATGCTGTGTCGGATGCGGTGTCTTTCGTACAGGAGACACCGATGGATGCTCTGGTGGCGACAAACGTGTCTCCATTACAGGTAATGAATGATACTGTCTCTCCTGTCCAGATAACGGCCCCTGTTCTGTCGCAGGTACCGGAGACAGATAGGAGATCTTACGCGGCGACCGTGGCTGGCCATGCAGAGCAGGTCTCGCATTCGGGACCGGAAATGGATGAGGACGTCCAGGAAATCTTATCGGATGAGGATGATGATGATCCATTCTGCCCGACGATCCGTTTAACGAAGGCGGAGCTGGAGGAGATACCGGCACCTTGGAGGCTAGCGATCATCGTGAAGGTGATGGGCAGATCCGTAGGGTATGCATACTTGTTACGTCGACTCACGTCAATGTGGAAGCCAAAGGGGAAGATGGATCTCATCGCCATAGATAACGGGTATTTCATCGTGAGATTTGGAGCGGTTGAAGACCTGGAGTTCGCTATGTTTGAAGGACCGTGGATGGTCTTGGATCACTATCTTATAGTGAAGCCTTGGGTTCCAGATTTTGATCCTTTCTCGGACGTCACGAAAAAAGTCCTGGTATGGATTCGAATACCTTGCTCACCTGCTGAATACTATAGTTTGATCTTTCTCAGGAAACTGGGAAACAAGGTGGGACGAACGTTACGTGTTGATCGGGCAACGACTGCAGTATCACGAGGAATGTTTGCGCGAATATGCGTGGAAGTGGATATTACAAAGCCTTTGATTTCCAAGTTCAACTACAAGGGGCGTACCAGGTCAGTAGAGTATGAAGGAATTCATATGGTGTGTTTCTCCTGCGGCATCTATGGCCATGGTCCGGATGCATGCCCGAAGCTGATTAGGCATGAGGAACAACGGGGGGAGGAAGGTTGAGAGCCGGATAAAGATCAACAGGCAGCGGGGAAACGGGGAGTTAGTGTTGGGGCAGCGCCATTCGGTGAATGGATGATTGTGCCGGGGCGGCGTGCGCGAGGCGGGGTTAGGCAGTCCGCGAGACGGAAACGTGCGGAGGAGGAGACACGTCCAGCTGCGACGAACGGCCGTGCTCAGTTGTCACGGTATGCACCTCTGGCAGAGGCAGAAGAAGGGAATGGTGGTGTAGAAGGGGAGGGCTGGGGCGGATATGCGGGCGAGGAAAAAATAGATGAGCAAGCTGAAGTGGAAGGAGATGTACCACGGGGAAAAGGGGCAGGCATGGCGACAAGAAGCAGTTCAAGAAGACCAAATGTGGTCGTTAGGGAGCAGCAAATTCTAAATGAACCCTTCGAGGAACCCAGGCCCCTTGACCGGACTGCAATTTCTCGTGCTCGAGGGGGAGGTCGAGTGGGACTCAGACGCGCAGCTGGTGAAGAGGAGCATGTAGTCGTACGAGGTGAGAAGGGAGGTTTGGTAATTCGGTCTTCAAGGGTGTTTGTTGGGGACGAGGCAGGCGATCTTCCGTCACCCGTCTGGCAACTTACGAATGAGCATCACAGTGACCCGCCAGGACGGTTGGATAATGAAGGGGATGTGGTTATGGATCTTGATGGGATCCCGGGGTTAAATAACGACGCTGGGGTGTCCAGTGGGCAGTGAGTTCCTGGTGTTTGGTTTTGTTTGTTCTTGACTTGAATTTTGCATTTTTGCACTTGTGTTTTTGTTTTCTCTTCTCTTTAATTATTTTAATTTTATGGATTGTTTGCTTTGGAATTGTCAAGGGGCGAGTGGAAGGCCGTTTCGCCGCACCCTTAAACACATTCTACAGGTCTACAAGCCCAATATCTTGGGATTGTTTGAACCCAAGGTGTCTGGTGATCAAGCTAACAGAATCTGCTCTCAGCTCGGGTTTTCGGACTGGGTTCGGGTGGAGGCCGTTGGCTTTAGCGGAGGCATTTGGGTACTTTGGAAGGACCCGGTGCGCATCTCAATTGTATTCACTCACCCTCAGTTTGTTTTACTACATGTCCAACAGGATGGGCAACCGCCTTGGGTTTTTGCACCAGTATATGGAAGCCCGACGCATCACCTCAGGCGCCGGCTATGGCACGACCTATCTCAATCGAAACGTGGTCCTTTAGGCCCATGGTTAGTTGCCGGGGATTTCAACTACGTCATGAAAAGAGAAGAAACGGCCAACTATAATTCTTTTTCATCCCAAAGGAGCTCGGAGTTTGCCGCATGGATTCAGGATGAGGGCCTCATCGATTTGGGCTTTTCGGGGCCCAAATTGACGTGGGTCAAAGAAGGTTCGGCTGAAGTCATCAAGGGGGCTCGGCTTGATCGGGCGTTATGCAACCTCGAATGGCGCATCCGGTTCCCGGATGCCTCTGTGGAACATCTGCAGAGGGTGGCTTCAGATCACACCCCGCTTCTGATCAGGTTGTTTGGGGGCCGAAGGGATACTATCTCTAACCCGTTCCATTTTCGTTTTCAGGCAGCTTGGCTCGCACACCAGGATCTGCCAACACTGGTGCAAAGGTCTTGGGACACGGGAAGAGGGTTGACCGATAACATACAGAAGATTTCCCACGACCTGTCTGACTGGAATAAAACAATTTTTGGGAATATATTTAAAAGGAAAAAAGTGCTACTATCCAGGCTTGGAGGTATCCAACGGATTCTTGCTTCTACATATCACAGAGGCCTATGTAAGCTTGAAAAGAAATTGCAAATTGAGCTCGAGGAAACGTTGTACCAAGAAGAGCTGTTATGGTTCCAGAGATCGAGGGAAGACTGGATAACAGCAGGGGATAGGAATACTGCTTTTTACCATGCAGCTGCCACGGTAAATAAATCACACACTAGGGTGACAAAGCTTCTGGACGAGAATGGTAACTGGCTCATTAAAGGTGAAGGGCTACGACAACAGGTCAGGAATTTCTACATCTCTCTTTTTACTGACACTTCGGCAGCAACGGGGCCTTTGAATCTGGAGGCAAGGTTCCCGAGACTTAGACGCAGGGACTGGAGGGTGTTCAATAGGGCAGTCACCAAGGATGAAGTATATAAGGCTGTTTGCGACATGAAGCCGTTTAAAGCTCCGGGCCCAGACGACCTGCCAGCGGGGTTTTACCAACATACGTGGGAAACAACAGGCGATAGCATCTTTAATTTGGTGGCTAATGCTTTCCATTTTGGCGAGCTCCCGGAAGGTTTAAATGATACCCTCGTCGCGCTTATCCCGAAAATTCGCCCCCCGGAAACGGTCAAACATTTTAGGCCTATAAGCCTATGTAATGTAAGCTATAAGATACTAACTAAGACCATTACTAATAGATTAAAGTGTATCTTGCCGCAGGTTATAGGGCCGCACCAGAGTTCTTTCGTACCAGGGAGACAAATTACGGATAATGTGTTAGTGTATCAAGAAGTTATGCACACCATGAAGGAGGCGCGTGGAAAACAAGGATACATGGCCATCAAGCTGGACCTGGAAAAGGCCTATTACAGGCTGTCATGGGATTTCATTAAAGACACGCTGGTTCAGGCAGGTTTTAATGAAATCTGGGTTACACTAATTATGTCTTGTATTTCTACATCCAGGTTGGCTATTATCTGGAACGGGGAAAGGCTCGATTATTTCAGACCCAAGAGAGGCATACGTCAGGGAGATGCTATGTCACCAGCCATATTCGTGATGTGCATGGAACGACTGAGTCACTTAATTTGCTCCGAGGTCGCCGAGAGGGTTTGGAAAGGCATCCAGCTCGCGCCTGACGGGCCCGTCCTGTCACATCTTTGCTTTGCTGACGACATGGTTTTGTTCACCGAGGCGTCGATAGCCCAAGTTGACATTGTCCAAAGATGTCTGGACTCCTTTTGTACGGCATCGGGGCAGAAGATAAGCTTAAGTAAATCTCAGGTCTATTTTTCAAAAAATACGGATCCAGGTGCGGCTGCTGCGATAACGCACAAGCTGGGTATAGAGGCGACCTCAGACATGGGACGGTATCTAGGTGTGCCTTCAATTCACGGTCGGGTCACGTGCAATACTTACGCGGGCCTGTTAGAACGCATCACGAGCAGGCTGGAAGGGTGGAAGGCCAAAACACTATCTCTTACTGGAAGGGTCACCTTAGCGAAGTCCGTTCTGAACGCTATCCCGGTCTACACCATGCAGACTGTAGATCTCCCGAAAGGTATTTGCGCAGAGATTGAGAAACGAACCAGAAGATTTATTTGGGGCACAAATGCGATTTCAGGAGGTAACAAGATGAGCTTAGTCGACTGGGGCCTGGTTACAACAGCGAGAGCGAATGGTGGTCTCGGGCTACGAAAGATGCACGAAATGAATATGGCGTGTATGACTAAACTCTGTTGGAGATTTAGGACGGAATCAAGGGCCCTTTGGGCGACGACTTTAGCCACAAAATATAAGTGCCAATCAGAATCGCGGATGGACAGCGCTAGTAGAAGAAGCAGTTCAAATGTCTGGAAAGGCATGTGTCACGCGAGCAACTGGCTGGAGAAGGGACTTGTGCGGATAGTGCGCAATGGTATGAGTACACGTTTTTGGATGGACAAGTGGCTCAGGCCATATGCTCTGTATGAGAAGATGACCCGTCCGGCAAGCTTCCCCGAATTATATTCGAATGTTGCCGAGTACTGGGATCACACCAGGGGCTGGAAATGGGAAGTTATAGAACAGTATCTGCCTCCAGAAGAGGTGGACTATCTGGCAGGTTTTGTTATGGCGGAGGACGATGCAACTGACAGTTGGGGGTGGGGCCCAGACCAACGGGGTGTATTCACAGTGAAGTCTGCTTATGGGATGATTAATGGAATACCAGACAGGGACACAGACAAGACCTGGAAGTTGATATGGACGATGAGAGTGCCAGCGAGAGTTTCCATGTTCATGTGGCTTGTGCGACATAAACGGATTCTCACTAATTGCGAACGGGCTAGGCGCCATCTCACCATTAATACATGTTGTTTTCGTTGTGCAGGACAAGCAGAGGACCTACATCATCTCTTTCGAGGTTGTGTAGCATCGAGACAAATCTGGGAGGATGCTTTACATCGGCGAACAGCTGCTCACCTACGCGGATTAGACTGGACAGATTGGTTTGAAACCAATCTTCGAGGAGATGCCAACCGTGGTTTTCTAGAAGGATGGCCGGAGCAGTTTGCATGTCGGATTTGGTGGCTGTGGCGATGGAGAAACGACGAATTGTTTAATGGAAACATCTTGCTCGTCGAACAAAAGATTTCTTGGCTGCGCAGGTACGACAATGAGGTGGCGGGGGCTTTTGGGAGAAATTGGCGTCCGCTGAACAGGGCGCCGTGCACGGTTGTTGCACAGCTGGCTTGGAAGAGGCCGTTGGCAGGATGGTGGAAGCTAAATGTTGATGGCTGTTGCAGACAAAACGGTGTGGCGAGCTGTGGAGGAGTGCTGAGAGATAAGGATGGCAGGTGGTGCCGAGGTTTCTCGTACAAGATTGGGAGATGCTCCATTGAAGCTGCGAAGGCGTGGGGAGTGTTAAAGGGACTGCAAATGGCCAGAAACTATGGCGCCATGAGGATTATCCTTGAGTGCGATTCGAAGGGTGTGGTAGAGAGCCTGCGAAAGAAAGTTGATTGGCAGACCCATTGCCAAAACATCGGAAAGCTGTGCGTACGAGAGGCGGCTTGCTTGGAGGAGATCCGGTATGAGCACATCTATAGAGAACAAAACAAGGTGGCAGACAAGCTGGCGTCTCTGGGAGGTCCAAGTGAGAGAGGCATCCGTATGTTTGCAGACCCTCCGCCGGAGGTTCTGGAGTTGATGGACATGGATCGAATTGGAGCTTCAACTCCAAGGAGAATTGCTCAGGCGACTCGTAAGGGTGGCTTGATGCTTTGTTTGGGTATCCCCCTCCATCCAGATAAAAAAAAAATAGTATATGTTTAACAATTATCTCAGTTTTGATTGGAATGAGATTCGAACCTAAGACTTCTCTTATGAAAATCAATGAGTAACATAAGAATAATAAATATTTAACGGAAAATTCCGTTACTGAAGTTTAAATAAATGGAAAGCAGAGGGTGAGTAGGGAAAATAAGAAAAAATAATAAAATAAAAATAATGTGAACAATTAATTTCAACAAACAATTACACCAACGTTTTTTAGTTCCCGTTAGGGCCGAACTTTATTGGCTCTTAGCTACATATGAATAATTAGAAACGAGTTGAGATGGCCGAGTTGGTCTAAGGCGCCAGATTAAGGTTCTGGTCCGAAAGGGCGTGGGTTCAAATCCCACACTCAACAAAAAAATGTTATTATTTTCAGCCTTTTAATATAATTACAATATGATATGATTTTTAAAACCTTTTTTCCCCATACAACTTATCTTGATAGAATTTTCACCTGTAATTTTTAAAATTAAAAATGTTATACATGTTTGCCCTAATATTAATCAATATAATAATTTTCCTGCACCTTTATTTTTTAAAACTAAAAATGTAATCTATAATATAATTTTTTCCTAAAATTGGTGTTCATTATTAATAAATCAATATACTACAAATTAAATTTCATTCATCTATTATATTAATAAGAACTAGTTACAACACGCACATTGTGCGAATTGTCCAATGCCCAATGTGTATTTTTAAATTAGGGTTTCATTATTTCTTAAAATATCTATCGTTATCCTTGCGTATATCAACTTAAGATTATCAAATTTTTCAAAAAAGTAAATATTTGAATAATGCATAAATATGATGCATAATTTTTGATAAAATTAACTGGTGCAATAGCAGTTTTAGAAGAAAAGACCCTCACTCGATAGTACAGAAGCATATTTTTTGCAACACAAAACCCTATTAATTGGAGTGATCCAAGCTTCCTTTGGTTGCCACAGCCGCCATAAATGAATTCTTGATTTTATCTAGTCCCCTGGTGTGCACTACAATTTTAGCGTCTTGGCACGGTGCACCATAAAAAACACAACCAAATCCTCCTTCCCCAAAAAGACAATGATAATAGGCATTGTTTATCATCTGTGTTGAATATATATTGTAAATTAGGTGTACCGTTTCATCAATGTCCAATGCGTAATTCTAATTAATTGACCAAAGTTCATGTTATATTTTATATTGTATTTTTTAATTCACTCTAACATATTCATTGTATATGTTTAACAATTATGTCAGTTTTGATTGGGATGGGATTCGAACCTAAGACTTCTCTTATGAAAATCAATGAGTAACATAAGAATAATAAATAGTTAACGGAAAATTCCGTTACTAAGTTTAAATAGATGGAAAGCAGAGGGTAAGTAGGGAAAATAAGAAAAAATAATTAAATAAAAATAATGTGAACAATTAATTTCAACAAACAATGACACCAACGTTTTTTAGTTCCCGTTAGGGCCTAACTTTAATGGCTCTTAGCTACATATGAAAAACTAGTAATGAGTTGAGATGGCCGAGTTGGTCTAAGGCGCCAGATTAAGGTTTTGGTCCGAAAGGGCGTGGGTTCAAATCCCACTCTCAACAAAAAAATGTTATTATTTTCAGCCTTTTAATATAATTACAATATGATATGATTTTTAAAACCTTTTTTCCCCATACAACTTATCTTAATTGAATTTTCACCTGTAATTTTTAAAATTAAAAATGTTATACATGTTTGCACTAATATTAATCAATATTATAATTTTCCTGCACCTTTATTTTTTAAAATTAAAAATGTAATCTATAATATAATTTTTCCCTAAAATTGGTGTTCATTAATAATAAATCAATATACTAAAAATTAAATTTCATTCATCTATATTATTAATATAAGAACTAGTTACCACACGCGCATTGTGCGAATTGTCCAATGCCCAATGTGTATTTTTAAATTAGGGTTTCATAATTTATTAAAATATCTATCGGTATCCTTGCGTATATCAACTTAAGATTATCAAATTTTTCAAAAAAGTAAATATTAGAATAATGCATAACTATGATGCATAATTTTTGATAAAATTAACTGGTGCAATAGCAGTTTTAGAAGAAAAGACCCTCACTGGATAGTACAGAAGCATATTTTTTGCAACACAAAACCCTATTAATTGGCGTGACCCATGCTTCCTTTGGTTGCCACAGCCGCCATAAATGAATTCTTTATTTCATCTAGTCCCCTGGTGTGCATCTTTGAAATTTTAGCGTCTTCGCACGGTGCACCTTAAAAAATACAACCAAATCCTCCTTCCCCAAAAAAACAATGATAATAGGCATTGTTTATCATCTGTGTTGAATATATATTGTAAATTAGGTGTACCGTTTCATCAATGTCCAATGCGTAATTCTAATTAATTGACCAAAGTTCATGTTATATTTTATATTGTATTTTTTAATTCACTCTAAGATATTCATAGTATATGTTTAACAATTATGTCAATTTTGATTGGGATGAGATTCGAACCTAAGACTTCTCTTATGAAAATCAATGAGTAACATAAGAATAATAAATAGTTAACGGAAAATTCCGTTACTAAGTTTAAATAGATGGAAAGCAGAGGGTAAGTAGGGAAAATAAGAAAAAATAATTAAATAAAAATAATGTGAACAATTAATTTCAACAAACAATGACACCAACGTTTTTTAGTTCCCGTTAGGGCCTAACTTTATTGGCTCTTAGCTACATATGAAAAACTAGTAATGAGTTGAGATGGCCGAGTTGGTCTAAGGCTCCAGATTAAGGTTCGGGTTCGAAGTTCTGGTCCGAAAGGGCGTTGGTTCAAATTACACTCTTAGCAAAAAAATGTTATTATTTTTCAGCCTTTTAATATAATTACATTATGATATGATTTTTAAAACCTTTTTTCCCCATACAACATATCTTAATAGAACTTTCACCTGTAATTTTTAAAATTAAAAATGTTATACATGTTTGCCCAAATATTAATCAATATTGTAATTTTCCTGCACCTTTATTTTTTAAAACTAAAAATGTAATCTATAATATTATTTTTCATTAAAATTGGTGTTCATTAATAATAAATCAATATACTAAAAATTAAATTTCATTCATCTATTATATTAATAAGAACTAGTTACCACACGCACATTGTGTGAATTGTCCAATGCCCAATGTGTATTTTTAAATTAGGGTTTCATAATTTATTAAAATATCTATCGCTATCCTTGCGTATATCAACTTAAGATTATCAAATTTTTCAAAAAAGTAAATATTAGAATAATGCATAACTATGATGCATAATTTTTGATAAAATTAACTGGTGCAATAGCAGTTTTAGAAGAAAAGACCCACACTGGATAGTACAGAAGCATATTTTTAGCAACACAAAACCCTATTAATTGGCGTGACCCATGCTTCCTTTGGTTGCCACAGCCGCCATAAATGAATTCTTGATTTCATCTAGTCCCCTGGTGTGCATCATCGCAATTTTAGCATCTTGGCACGGTGCACCTTAAAAAACACAACCAAATCATCCTTCCCCAAAAAGACAATGATAATAGGCATTGTTTATCATCTGTGTTGAATATATATTGTAAATTAGGTGTACCGTTTCATCAATGTCCAATGCGTAATTCTAATTAATTGACCAAAGTTCATGTTATATTTTATATTATATTTTTTAATTCACTCTAACATATTCATAGTATATGTTTAACAATTATGTCAGTTTTGATTGGGATGAAATTCGAACCTAAGACTTCTGTTATGAAAATCAATGAGTAATATAAGAATAATAAATAGTTAACGGAAAATTCCGTTACTGAACTTTAAATAGATGGAAAGCAGAGGGTAAGTAGGGAAAATAAGAAAAAATAATAAAATAAAAATAATGTGAACAATTTATTTCAACAAACAATGACACCAACGTTTTTTAGTTCCCGTTAGGTCCTAACTTTATTGGCTCTTAGCTACATATGAAAAACTAGCAATGAGTTGACATGGCCGAGTTGGTTTAAGGCGCCAGATTAAGGTTTTGGTCCGAAAGGGTGTGGGTTCAAATCCCACGCTCAACAAAAAAATGTTATTATTTTCAGCCTTTTAATATAATTACAATATGATATGATTTTTAAAACCTTTTTTCCCCATACAACTTATCTTAATTTAATTTTCACCTGTAATTTTTAAAATTAAAAATGTTATACATGTTTGCACTAATATTAGTCAATATTATAATTTTCCTGCACCTTTATTTTTTAAAATTAAAAATGTAATCTATAATATAATTTTTCCCTAAAATTGGTGTTCATTAATAATAAATCAATATACTAAAAATTAAATTTCATTCATCTATATTATTAATATAAGAACTAGTTACCACACGCGCATTGTGCGAATTGTCCAATGCCCAATGTGTATTTTTAAATTAGGGTTTCATAATTTATTAAAATATCTATCGGTATCCTTGCATATATCAACTTAAGATTATCAAATTTTTCAAAAAAGTAAATATTAGAATAATGCATAACTATGATGCATAATTTTTGATAAAATTAACTGGTGCAATAGCAGTTTTAGAAGAAAAGACCCACACTGGATAGTACAGAAGCATATTTTTAGCAACACAAAACCCTATTAATTGGCGTGACCCATGCTTCCTTTGGTTGCCACAGCCGCCATAAATGAATTCTTGATTTCATCTAGTCCCCTGGTGTGCATCATCGCAATTTTAGCATCTTGGCACGGTGCACCTTAAAAAACACAACCAAATCCTCCTTCCCCAAAAAGACAATGATAATAGGCATTGTTTATCATCAGTTTTGAATATACATTGTAAATTAGGTGTACCGTTTCATCAATGTCCAATGCGTACATCTAATTAATTGACCAAAGTTCATGTTATATTTTATATTATATTTTTTAATTCACTCTAACATATTCATAGTATATGTTTA